GGCAGCAGCAAGCGCTGCGCTGACGCTGCATGTAAAAGCACGTCCCAGGCCTCTGGTGCCTGGCGAGGCGGCCGTGTGCTGATGTGCTGCACTCGCCCCCAGCAGCGCAGTGAAGCCCCCACGCCGGCACAGCAGTGCCGTGTCACCTGGCTCCCCTCGGTGCTGCTGTAACGAGCTCCTCTGCGGTGCCAGTCCTGGCCCAGGCACGAGGCGGCAAGGCTCGTGGTTCCCCTGGTTTAATTGTGAAGATGTTTTAAAGCACCTGTCAGCGCGAGGGGAGCGGAGCGGCATGAGAGCGCTGCGTGCTTGGAGCAGGGACTCCTGCCCTGGGCTTGGGGCCAGGCATTAGCATCCATGCCCTCGCAGGGCTACCCTCTCTGGGCTTTATCTTGGGCAGGCGACATCTTGGAGGTTTTGAAAGCCGTGTGTGGGATGAGATGCTTGGAGCTGGTGCTGCTTTGAGTAGGGGGTTGGAGTGGATGATCCTGAGGTCCCTTCCTGTCCTCATTGCCTATGATGCTGTGCTGAATGCATCTTGGCTAGCTCGGGAGTGGGATGGGACAAAGCTGGCGCGTCACGGCGCTGGTCTGGTGACGGCGTTTCGCAGCCCAACCTCCCAGGGAGCACCTCAATCCCGTAGCGGACAAACAGTCTGGACAAGACAAGCCGGCGAAGGCTGGCACTGGCCGGGGCAGCGCTGTAACCGAGTGAGGAAACGTACTGGCACGCGTCAATAAAATAGCTAAATAAATCTTTAATATTTCTAATTGCAAATGTACATAAATTGCACAGCCACATCATGTCTTCGAACACCAACAACTTTCTCTGTACATTATTACATAGTTTAAAAGACGCTGAAGGAGGTTCAGCAAACACTTCCACTGCTCTTGGTTTTGTTCTGGGTTTTTTGTTTGTTTTTTTTTAAACATACTTACAAAAAAAAACGGTTTTATTTCTTTTTTTTTTTTGTTTTGTTTTCTTTATAAGAGGGATATAAAACATAGCGACTGCTTATCAGGAACAAGGATCAGCCTAAGCAGATAGACAGAGAGAGAGAGAGAGAGAGAGAGAGAGAGGTATATCTTAAGACACAGTGATGTATGAGAGAGGAATATGTGACCATGAAGACTGCACTTTGGGGTACCGGTAATTGATGCAGAACCACATAAAATTTACAGCGATGTCACAGCTCACGTTGCCTGTGAAAGTTGATTGGTGAGACTGAAACCCTCTTCCAGTGCACGCATGTGTTAGGAGTATTGTGTAGCGGCCTCTCGGACCGGATTTGGTTTGGAAAGCCTGTGCTCAGCATGTTCTTGATAGGTTTACGTCTTCCCCTCCTCACCCCAACCCAGCCAGCCTCCACGCCGGCACCCAGCCAAGAGGCAGGACGACAGCTCGGCGATGGGCACGGCGGGTAGGCTCGGCTGATGCTTGAGGTCAGGCCGTAGGTACAGACACAAGTTGTGTATCCAATGCTGCACTTCCTCATGGGGCACATGGACCAGTCCTAGATCCTGGCAGAAGGGGCCCCCCCTTAGCTTGTGGCAGCTTAAGGACACTAGGCACCCAAGTGACATGTCTGCAGGCTTGATCTGCAGGCGGAGGTGGCCTGGGATACAAGCCCCGAGGGACAGGGTTGCAGCACAATGGAGAGGATGGGAGAAGCCTAGCAGATGGTCTGCAGGGAGCTCCCCCCAACCCCGGGGACCACGGCAGGGGTGCTGCCAGGCTTGGGCTGCCTCGCGGGGCAAAGCCAGTGGCTGAGAGGGAGACGGGCTTGGGGGAATGGACGATGCGACTGTCCTTTGGGCAGAGCACTGCCCTGGCCCTGCGGCATGGGGGCTGCCTGTCAACGGGCATCCCCACCTCTGCTTCTCCGGCCTGACCTCCCTGTTAGGGCTTGCAGTGTGTCCACATGCCTCAACAGCGTCAGAGCTGTGCTCAGCCATGGCGGTACAGACGGCAGGCTGCTTCTTGCTGCCTCTCTCCAGAGGAACTCAGTGATGGGATAAGGCCGCTGGCCCCGCTCCCTGCCAAAACAAAGCCAGTCCTTGTGGCTTGGGTTTTAAAGCAGGGAATTCGTTGTGTGAGCAGATGCTGTGATGCTTCGCTGAGCCCCAGCACATCCAGTCCCTTTGCAAAATTCCCAGGGAGGCTGCCAGCCCGTGGCTCCCTGCACAGCCACGTGTCCAGCATCACATGCAAACTTATACAGGTAAGTCCAAAAACCAGGGGGAGGGAAGGGGGGGTATGACTGGCAGTACAAGCAGGTGTTATAAAAAACACCCCTTCCCCCTGTCTAAAGGTAAGACTACAGCCCAACTGCAGAGTTTCCTGCTCTCTTTTAGGTGGAGCCTAAAATTTCTGTGCAACATGGAAGTCACTGCTGGGAGCAGCTGTTCCCAAAACGGTTGGACCACGGGGACCGGGTTAGGCCTGGGTCTTTGGGCTCAGAGCCTGACCTGTGTGCTCTTATTAGACCAGAAAGTGGCCCTGACCCCACAGCCTCCCTCGTGCTCTCGCTAATCCCCAAAAAGCAGCCCTGGGCCCTGGAGATGGACCAGCCCCCAAATCCGGGAGCCAGATGAGGCTCTTCTCCCACCAGATGGCTGAGATCTCAGCTCTGGGTCCAAACTGGCTGGGCTGAGCCTACCGCTGGCGTAAACAGCAGTACAATACAGTCAAGGCAAGGCCCTGCGCCTATGAGCAGCACGTACCTCTGCACAGCTGGTAGGTAAAGCAGGCACGCGGCTAGCAAACACCCAGCGCGGTCACAGGGGGATTGCCAGGCTGGCATCACGCTCCGCGCTGCACACGCTCCCCGGTGCCCGCAGAGCCTGAGCACCAGCGTGAAGCGTGCAGGTCGTGGGGTAGCTGGGTCACGCTCTGCTACTACGTGCACCTCCCCAAACTGGCTCCAGGATGATAGGACCCCTGTGAGATGCGGGGCTTGGCCAGATTTCATGGGGCACAGCTGGAGGCATGCACCCCGTGCCTGGGCATGGCAAACGTGTGCTTTGGAGCAACAGTAGACTTTGGCTGGAAGCAAAGCCTCAGTGAGCAGCACTCAGGGCTTTGAGGTGGGTGGTTTCAGGCCTGGATCCAAGCATTGCTGGGGGGAGGTGGTTTCTTTGCTAAAGAGAGATTTCCTCTGGACTGGGGAGGGGGCACATTGTACTGGCTCAAGAAACTAAACAGCTTCAGCAGCAGGTGCTGGGTTTGGCCCTCCTGCAGGGCTAAGGGCTGATCTGGAAGGCCTGATGGATGGCTTTCTGCTTTCCAAAAAAGCAATGCTAGGCTCTAATTTGTGGAGCCTGAAGTCACCCAGGAATTAACCTAGTCACTGAGAAGCCTGGAGAGCAGTGCCTGGGCTTGTAAGGGAGCCAGGGGGTAAGAGGACCTGTATTAGCTTCAGCACTAGGCTATTGTTTTGTGGCTTTTGCATCCTCCCCACCCCCCTTAATTCTTACGGACCACACTCCTTTTGCAGCCAAAAAGTTTCCTAGCATTTCCATGTATGAATGGAAACCAGTTCCTGCCTCCGCCCCCTGCTAGCATTGTCATCCTTGCATCCTATTGTCGAGAGAGAGAGAGCGCTTCCATCTCACAGAGGATGAATATTTCAGTACTGGAAAAAAAAATAGCCGGGTTTAAAAAATACATCTCAGGGCAACAGCTGTTTAAAGTCATCTTTTTGCAGGGTTCGCGGAAGGTATTTGACACCGAGACAATGGTGGATAAAAGTGCACATACCAAATTGTTCACAGTACCCTGTATGGTCCTAACGTGTGTGGGTCTTTCTCCGCAGTAATTCTGAGTGTCAGTTTTGTGAGCTTCTTCAAAGCCATCTGTGCTAATGCTCCAATATGCAGTGGTGACCTTACTTGGCATAAATATTTAGTTATTACTTTCCTCTGAGGAGTTTCTTTTTTTATGTTGGCGCCAAGCTGTGAATTTAGATCAGGAGATGGGCCGGCATTCCTGATGTGTGCAGACCTCTGCGCGCAGCCACGTTGTTCAGGTATCCAAGGACCGGAGCTGCCACGGGTGCAGCCACCTCTGGCCCAGGCCGGGGTTTCCAGGGGATAGAGAAGCTCTTTTGGAAAAAAAGAAGCTTTAGGCTTTAAAACAACTGCTTCTGACATAATTCTTTTTTTTTTTTTTTTTATGAGCCTGAGAGTTGCAGGACAGCATGGAAACACAGGTTTTGAGTGGCAAACTGCAGCTGCTAGCACGAAGTAGGAATTGTGAAGCTGGAGGTGGTAGCTACGCTAGGCAGAATTCAGTGAGTGTCCTAGTCCCTTCTGACTGTACATTTAAACATGGCACTGGGGGATCAGGACAAGCATAGAGTAAGCATATTACGCGCTTGGTGGAGGAGAGGCAGATGTCCTGTACACTGTACATCACATGTCTCAGTGAAATCATCTCTCTGTGTCTCAGTAGGAAAGACCTGCTCTGAGACCGGGATTCACAAAAGAACTAACTTAAAAAAAAAAAAAAAAAAAAAAAAAAAAA